GTGGTGTTGGTGAGAGGGATTAGGATGGGAGATGATGATGAAATTGACAAGCAGGCCAAGAGACTTATTGAAGTGAACCCGTGTTACTGTTGAAAGGATGCAGTATAATAAATATTTTATACACTAGTGCAAAGTAATGACGCCCAAGGACCATTGGCTATGTAAAAAAAATGCTTTAATTATTATCACAGAACCCATCACAGCAGAGCTCAAATAAGACGGCAAGGCAGGCAATATCTAATTCATTTTCATCCAGAAAAAAATAATTTAACATGGAAAATTAATTTTGAGAGTTGAGAAGCAAAAACCTTTCTTCTAAAGCCCTCTATTGCTCTTCTTGCTTTTTGCTTTCTCCACAGAGGCATACAACGATGAACCAGCTTCTGTTCATCGGCAACTCAAGCTAAAATGCAAATTGCAAAGTCAGAAAAACTCTGGAGTATCAGTCCTTCACCTGCAAAGATAGCGATGAACTTTTTGGGAGACTCAAACCCAATGTTTCAGAGGACCTGTAGCAGTGAATGGCAAAGGAGAAAGAAAATTGAAGCTAAACTAACAAATCAACTAAAAAAAAAAACCCTAGTGAACAGCAACAACTGTTAGGGATGTCAACAAGGCGTAGAAAATCAGCACTCCTAAGATGTGCCAGTCCAAACTCACGGTGTATAGTCTTTGTGTGTATACAGGACAGCTGGGAAGCTCTGGGCAACATAGTTCACAGAGAAGGGAAGCTCATACTGTGTCTGGTGGGGTGTGGCTACAATCTGGTCCATCTGAGGAAGAGGAAGATAAGACAAGATAGAAACAAATATGATCCACTTTTTTTTTGACAAGCAAAGAAAGAATTTAAGATTAATAATAATTGAAGAAGTGATAGAGAACTGAGAAATTTCTGCCTATTTCATCAAACCTCCAATTTCACTGAAAATTCGTTTCGGTTTTTTTCTATTGGACATATACTGCTTTTTTGGGGTCCAAAAACTGATAATCAAATCTAAAACACTTTAATAATAAATAACTAATGTCAAGAACTCCTTTCCTTCACATCTCACAATAAACACTGTTCTAGAATTGATTTTGCTTCAAATCCGCATTGGTAGGAAAGAGGAGAGGAGAGATCGCAAAGTAACAAGTTTATCTTAGAAAAAAAATAAAATGTTATCTATTCTGAACAACAGCATAAAATCTGTTGCATCAGCATTTTCCCTGTTCACAAAGTTCCACACAATATGAGAAAAACCTTGAGGAAAGTTATTAAAATCGTTCATCACATCGTAGCAGACAGACCCGACAGAGGAACAAAAAAAGTTGACCTCAAGATTTTACCTCTGGGAAGATGGGGGCCATTTCCACTTCACCCTTGATGTGTCCCAGGAAAGTCTTGATGCCCTGCACTGAGCGATCCATGGCACTGGGTGTAGCATTCACAGACAGTCTGCAATTCATATGTTGGAAACATTTTTTCACAATCGGACAACAATAATGTCTTGCAACAAATTTGCATATGACTGACAACTAGCAATAAAAAAAAAATGAGCATTCAATGTTGAAATTCATCAATGATTTTATTAAAATTCAATATTTCCCTTAAACACCTAAAGTCAAATTTGCGCCACAAGATGATTCAAGAAACAGAAAAAGCTTCTGCAGACTTTTAGAGGTACTAAGCCTTCTAAAATATAGCATGATGATAAGTTTTCATATTGTGAGGGACTCCATCTATTTTGGTCAAGATATTTAAAAAACTAAAATTTATGATAGCAACTGAACACTAAGATGCCAGTCACAGTGATGCTTAGTGAAACTTTCTTCCTTGCCAGACCAAGGTACGTATCAGTACCATCACAGAGCAAAATCCCCCCCCTCCCCCAGCCCCTGACCCCCTCCACCACCAACACACAGACCTGAGGGAAGTTTTATCCAACACCACATTTCCAATGCTTTGTAACTTGTAGATAACGTCTGTCAGATCAGTCTGCTCAGCCACAGTCTTCATCGTGCGAACCTGAAATAATAATAATGGTAACGATAATCCCAGTAATAATGGGAATTTACACAGCGTCTAATGTCATGTAGGCTGTAAACACTGTACTGTCATTTATGCAATTCAACTGACAAATCAAAAGACAGAAAATGTTCACTGCAAACCATTTAACAATGCACGCACACACACACACACAACTCACAGACCCACAACATTCTCACATACAAAAAGTACTGGCGGAGGATAGCGCTGAATTAATACGTCTTAAGATTTTTCTTAATTGATAACAATGACATGATCGAACTGAAATGAACAAGGGTTTCAAGAACAAAAGATCCATCTTTAGGCAAAAGTGTATGTACATTAAAAAGGCTGTGGCCTGCATTCAGGACGAAATGACTCTCTGATAGAGGGCATCCAGAATGCAAACCAAGTTTTACCAAAAGTGAGGCATATCTCTAAGGGACCTGTTTCACACATGACAAGAACTCTTGTAGAAAAGGTTAAGCTATTGACTTTACATGCAGAGGATGTGAGCTTAAATCTCATTGAGAAGCAACAACATTGCTTCTCAACGTTGCTTCTATTCTAGGAGATATCAAACACAATACGGCACTCTACTAACACTAAACACAAACACAACCCCGACAAGCAAACTGGAGGCACTCTGCCTACCAAATTGTGTTCTAAAGAGACGTAATAATCATAAATGAAATTTATATAGCTCTCAACCCCGATTAAGGTACACAGGCTCTGAGTGCTTTCCAATAGAGTACAACCTAAAACAGTAACATAAAACGTTGGGTTCTGATCCAGATTAAAAGAAAATCATTCCAAATATTCAACGTATTTATTTAAAAATAGAAATGACTTCAGCTGACATTTGAATGAATCAAAAGATTTGATCTCTCTTAAAGTACTTGGCAAAGCATTCCAGGTCTTGGGGCCTTGATATTCAAATATGCCCTTTCACCTATTGTTTTAAGTTTCATAGATGGTAAAAGAAATTTCTTTTCGTCGGCTGATGAGCATTTAAACTGCGAGTTGGAATGTAGTCTCAACAGATTTAATAAATATGATGGCGCATTATCATTCAAGCATTTGAGACATATGGTGGCCAACTTGTACACAATTCTTTTCTCAACAGGAAGCCAGTGAAATGTCCGTAAAAGAAGTTTAGCAGAGTCTCGCTTTCTTTTCCATAAAACGAAATGTGTAGCATTGTTTTGGACAGTCTGAAGTCTTTTAACTTTCTCCAGTGATATTCCTGATAACAATGAGTTACAATAATCAAGTCTTGATAAAGCTAAGATAGTTACATGAAACTTTCACAATAAATTCACATTATCAGGCATGCCAATTTGTTCAAAACCCAATCAGGGACATCCTACGTCACAACATCAGATTATGTAGCAACAAACAAAGCTGCATCAAGTGGTACTAGATGTGGAGTAGTGTATGTTATAAATATGATCTATCGAAGTGGTGGTGGCTAGAATGCCCTCTCAAATTCCTAACTGCCGAATCCAGAACAAAACTGGGACATTCAGGACAGTTGGCAAGCCTGCATTACTTATTCATTTCATGCATGGGTTTTGCTACTACATTTGACTATAAGTCACTCATGCCTTCTGCAAAGGATGAGTGACTTTGATACAAAAACAAAAGAAAGGCTAAAGCAAGGAAGACAAAATTCATTCTGAACTCAGTCCCAACCTGAGAGTATCCATAAAACATCTCCTGGATCCAGCTAACGATGTCCAGCGTGGAGGCAGAACTGACCATGGCGTAGCGGTGACCGCTGTCTGCCAGGCTGGAGGCCAGGTTGCTGGCACACATCTTGATGAGGGTGGACAGGCGGTTTGTATCTTCAAAGTCAGGACTGCAGTTGGAGGCAGAAATACAAAATCATATGTGAGGTGTGCTGACAAAATGAGTTACTTCTCAGATTTTAGGCCGATGGAAATAGATGCGTCAAATTTATAGGTTGGGTTTTTACAATTTATTAGTATGAAACGATAAAAGACATGTAAAACTTGAAGAGAATGGGATTGGTTTAGAATTTACAAATATGTCCCTTGTGTCAATTTTTAGCTAATATCTCCATTTTTTTTATTGTGAGAAGTAACTGATTTTGTCAGCATGCCTCACATATTATAACACTGAAAACAATGACAAAAAATTAACACATTTCTAATGATAGGCAGATGAGGAAGAAAATGTGACACTTTCTGACTAAACTATTAGTAGTTATCATCAATGGAATATAAAAGAAATGTGCATAAACTTAGCTTTTCACGACAAGCCTCAAAATGATTCAAGTTCATGTTGTTTACTTTATGGCTGGAGCCTCAATTTACCTGGTCTATTCAGAGACAAAAGTCTAAACTTGACTAAAAAAAAATATGTGAAAAAATACCAACTATCTTACCATTCCCCTCAACAACAAAAGGAAGTTACCCCCCCCCCCCCCCGCACACACAAAACCCCCCTTCCCCCCAAAAAAATTTAAAAAACACAAGAAAAGCAAATCAACAACAAACAACCAACTCTTCATCTACTAACTGTGCCCTTGTCACTGCAAATACTCACCTGTTGATGATGTTTGTCCACAGATCCATCATTTTGTTGAAGTTTTTCTCCAAGCAGTGTGAGGAAAAGAGGACAGCTCTCTGTACGCGGTTCTGGTCGGAGTGGTGAGGAATGATGAGCGGTGAGGCTGACATCCCACCAGTGTAGAGCTCTTGTTGTTGGGACATCCACAGAAAGTCGTGCCCGCCGGCCCCGATACTAGAGAGAGAGAAGAAAAATAGACACATTTCAATTTTCCCTGGCTGTACTGTGAGTAGAACAATCAACTGCATACTGTCCCTCAGATCTAGAGGAAAGTACAGAAAACAAACTTTCAGATTAAAACATTAATAAAAAATATTTTTCTAAAATAATAAAATTTGTTATTAGTATAACTATTAAGTTCAGATGAAAAACTTCCATTAATAAATGCTGTCAAGAACATAAAACAGAAAATGAAGGAAGCAAAAGAAAAAAAAAAAGAAAGAAAAAAAGGAAACCCAGCATCTCTTTACTAACACAAACGCTTGCTTTCCACAGAGACAACAGAGCCGAGCTGTCACCAATCAGGCTTGGTTTCATTCCCGCCAAGATTTCATCCCATCAAGGTTCCACATATTAATAAATAAATACTAACCACTTAAAACAGAAACACTCTTCACAGACTCTTATCTTGCACAACTTTTTCACATTCCTGTAATCTCACCTGGTGATCACATCACAGAACAACGGGACGTAAGGCATCAGATCCTCAGAAAGCCCATCCAAGTTGGAGGCCATGCGCAAATATGTCACACCATTGGTAGGCTGATCACAGGTCTGGATAAATGACCAATCTGAAAGAGATTTATAACACATGAAGAAGACCAAACACTCTTATGGACACATTTCCCTTACAAAAGTTTTAAGTTGTTCGAAAATGAAAGCTTTGCTTTTTGAGTCCCATTGACAAACATTATGTTTCAGTTATGGACAGGAACAAAAGACTACTAACAAATGGGAGACCCATCCCCATTCCAACTCCCAATCCCCAAGACACTCATTCTACTCCAAGTCATTTTCTGTTTCACGCTATGGAAATATCCAACCAACCACATATTTAAAATACAATCTTCAGCACCTACATTTGATGAGCATAATATGAAAATGTACAGGAAACTACACAAGGCTTCACAACTTTCAGCACATGTTTCTACCTGACAACATTATCAAACCTTTTTCATGCTATACATCCTACCAAACAGTTATTATCCCACAAGAGAACGCAGCCATTGCAGAGACTTACCAGCTTGTGTGATTTCAATTTTTTCATTTTTGATGCTACTGTCCAGATCGGCAACCTTAATGGAGGGCAGACAGGACAGATCTTCCTGTAGCTCTTGTTTACTTTCCAGCTCAGCACCTGGTATATTCCAAGCAAAAAACAACAACAAATAAAGCATGCTTTTGTTACTTGGAACAAGCCAATTAGTGAAGACAAAACTGTCAACTGTAAATAACCTGTTGAAGAGAACCAGCTCAGATCCTAATATTTAGTAAACTCATTACATTGGCGTAAAATAAGGGGAAGGGGGGGGAGGGGAGAGGTTCGCAGTGGCTTAACTCACTCAACTCTAGGCCTAGACTTCCGGGTTGTCAGCTCTCCCTAGAGGTTTTAACTACTTTTTGAATTTTTTTTTTAAAAACCCCTAAATTTTATCACATCCTACCAAAATTTTATACACCTTTTATTAAAACCTTTATTTGTGTGTATTGAAAATTTGAAGGCAAAACATATCATAGTTTTTATGCAATATTCCGTGGAAAAAGGTCTATATACATACAGAACAGAGTCAAAAAGATTTTAAAAAACAAAGAAAGGAAGTTCATTCAAATTTCGCACCCCCTCACATGGTTCACGAATATAGCTTTCTTTTTTCTAAATTTGGGCTTGCACATATGGTCATAGTCTGTTTCAAATGAAAAATGGTTACTCTTCCAATCAAGCTATAGTCTGCTTCACATAAAAGTAGTGTTTTCGTTCACAAGAGCGAAATTTTCCACACTAATACTGTCGGCGTTAGGGTTGGAGCGTTTGCGCGCATACCGATATTATCGGCGCTAGGGCTGAGTGAGTAAAAACAATCAACTGAGATATAACCATTTTTCAAATTCATCATAAAATTAAAAAAATAATAAAATTTAAAAAAATTAAAAAAGAAACTAATATGCTAGCAAGGGCATTGATAAGAAGATCAGTTTCTGACCACATAAACAAGACAAAATACAAGGACAGGGTCTGAACAACATTTTTATACCTGTAAGCAGAACATGCTCCTCTGTATAGGAAAGCATGCCATTACCGGCAAGACTTTCAACACCTTTAGACTCTAAAGCATAAGCAGTTGCTCTATCACACTCTCTCTCTTGCCCTTTTTAACTCCCAGTGGAGCACAGGCCATGAACAACATTTCTCCAGCTCCGGTGCATCCTTTTCTAGCTGTTTCCATGGCTCTATAACGCATGGGTTATAAAATGTTACACAAGACTCAATGCCAAATCTCTTTTCCCTTGAGGTCTGTTTCATGCATCAACACATACTATCACACTACAATCATGCTTGTGCAAATGAACCTCTGACACAATAGGCAACTCTGGATGATCAAAATGTAAGAACACAATACCTCTGTCCAGAATAAGTTTCATGTCATCCTCATTCAGCGCCGAAACCAGATTGTCAAGTCTGTCTTTTTCTTCAGCATCCCTTTCCTCAGCCACAGAACTGTCTGGACTCATAGTCAGGGTCAATCTGTGAGGGTTATCCTGCAAACAGAGAGCAAGGATATTTTCTTATCTCTACCTTCATGGCAGATATGACTCATTTCCCCCCTTATTTTACTGCCTTAAAGAATTTTGAATTACAAGAACGTGAATATAGAACTCATAAAACTTACTTAGTTGGCAAAAATAAGATGATACCTCACTCATACCTGTACTTTATAATATTATCTATCTTTAGAATGGCATATACGCAATGAAAATTTCCAAAATCAACTGAAGAAGGAAACAAAGAACAAAGCATGCAATACATTTTACAAATACTTTCTTAACTGTTTATAGTGATTAACTAAAAAATAAACTGCCTACATTGAGAAAAAGAAAAGCTGATCACATCTCTGGGCTAAAAAGAATAGGCAAAGACGACATCCGCAAATCATAGTTGTCACTACTATTAATTCACCTTAAGGTATTTTTGCACTCGTTCTTGCAGCATTTTAGGATTTTTCTTGAGCTCGGCACGGAAACTCTCCACCAGCCTGTTGTGCTGCAGCATCTGGATAGGATCTCCGTCATGGTTCCATGCACTGGCCAAACCCTAGGGAAACATTGTACCTGGATTTAGCTATAGGAGAAGATATATAGGCCAACAGCTGTAGAAGTATGGTCTGTGACATTTGCACAAGACACAACACAGAACAAAGGCATAAAAACGTGAGAATGGATGCGTCATGAAAGTTGAAAAATTGCTTGCCCTCTGATCGCTCTTCTGCATACTCTAATTTTTAAAAAAACATAATTCTAGTTGAACCGTTAAGGCAAGAAATGTATTTGCATAATTACTGGAGCTTAAAAATTGGACTCCTAAATTTGTGTTTTATAAAGGGGAAAGTAATGTTGCTTTTAAAAGACATAAGCACGTAAGCAGTTCTTGCATCTTCATTTTATAATTTCTTTTAATGAAGAATCAATAAATAAAATCTATTTCATCAGACATGAAACTCTTTTTTGTTTGCCTTCCCCTGCTAGAACTCACATCTATGGGTTCACCAAACAACATCAGCATACATGACGAACATGAACATTTTTTCCAATAAAAGTTTAGAACCTCATGTCTTTAAGGTACTAACAACTTTCATCATTTCCACAGGCAAGCACCACTTCAAGTGTGGGTTTAAAACTAATTTCTAATTTTTCCTAACTTTAAAACTGCCATGGCCTTTTTTAATGCAAGTACTAGACATATGGAACCTTCAAGCTTTCATTAACCCTAGGATATGGGTAGTATTTTTTATACACACCAAAAATCCACAGAAAAAAAATCACAAGAACATGAAATTTGAACTAAGCTTGTTGAGATTAGAGGCGAGCAGCCCAAAAATTCACATGGAAATCAAACGTAAAGAGGAACTTGGTTGTACAAGTGAAACTTACCACTGTCAAATTGAAGCCAAAGTTGCTGGTCTCATGCTTCTGTCCCAACTCAATCCTGTGCAGCAAGGCATCTATGCGAGTTTTTTCAAATCCTTCCCTGTTTGAGTAAAGTGAAATGCATCGACATGATAAAGGTCATTTACTACTCAGAAAAAGCAAAACAGATAGACAGAAACAATGGCATAGTAGTAACAAAATAGGTTTAACCAGTAGCCCCCTATAAGCCACCTGCTTTAGGAATGAATGCAGTGTGATTGTTCATCTGATATTTTATATTTATTAGTTTGATAGTTTGAAAGAAACAGAAGCATATCAACTCAATAAAAGTCTTTTAGTTCTTAGTAAAAGCAGGACAAACACACAACGTCCAACACAAACCTAGAGGCACACAGTCATTTTATCTCAACCTACGCACACACTCAATACCATCACTAGCAACTGATACGAGATCCAAGCACACTCAAACTGAAGTTAACCATATGGCGATAAAATGAACAAATAATGTGAGTCCTGTTTTTTAATACGGTGAGCTGAAGGACAAAATATTGTTATGGTGAAAATGTATGAGCATAAGTGGGGGCGTATTTAAGTATATTGCATTATTATGTATATTTTACTTACTTTAGTTTTATTTTTTCATCCTCTGTTGCCATCTAAGCATCGAGGGGAGATACAGTTTTCTATGGTAGGCTAACTCCGCAGTTCTTTCAGTTGTGATATTTTATTTTCTCAAGGTTTCCTTGACACTCTCAATCCACCTTTTGCATGGCCTTCCTCTTCATTTATAGCCTGAGTCCTTGGTGTTGTTAGCTCTTGAGGCAGGCTGGCCAGGTGATATACGTAACAGGTGGCCAAACCATTTTACATGTGTTCTCTGTCTTTCTATGTAATGCAGACTAGGGCTGGGTCACCAGCGCGAGAACGGAACTGAATCGCCACTCTTTCCTGCGGAACGTGATTCACGATTCACTTCAGCGGAACGCGGAACAGTATCGCCAAACGATTCCCGATTCACTCCCCTGTCTCTGTCATCACCTTGTGGCTTGTTTAACCTACTGCTGAGTCGAGTCATGAGCGCAAGAACGGAACGGAACACTTAGTATGGCTCCCCTTATTTTACAAAAGATGGTATAGTCCAACCCCCCTATTAAAACAAAATGAACGGGGTCCAACCAATAGACAGAAGGAATTTTATGGAGCCATTGTTTTAGGGAATGGTGGGGTTGGGGGGGGGGGGGGGTGTGGAATTTATGGGGGTCACTAATTGAGGTCAGTTGATAGAGCAGCGCAATAATGGGTGTGGGGCAGAGAGGATGGTGGAACAACAAGAGTGGGACTTGCGCTCGCCAAGAGGCGTTGATATGACACTGTTCCGTTTCAGTCAGTGTTCCGCCACAGCTCCACGAGCGCTCGCGTACTCGCGATTCATTGAAGCCGACTGAATCGCGAATCGCCACTCTCAAATTTGACGAGCAGGATCCAGCCCTAATGCAGACAGGACTCAGTGCCGATAGCTGCTCTTACTTCTTCATTTCTCTGCATGTCTCGTCTTGTGATGTTAAGGGTTTTGCGGAGACATTTTATTTCTCCTGCAGTGATTTTGCTTTCATGGGTTTTACTTTATGTCCAGGTCTGGCACTGGTAACAAAATGTTGGTATGAATATTGAGGTGACAAGCTGTCTCTTTGTGTTCATGGAGATGTTTGGATGGGATAGGAGGGGTACGAGCTAGAGCCAAATGAAAAAATTCGTATAAAGCACCTTTCCCAAGGACACAATGTCAGACCGAGCCTTGAACCCCCAAATCTGCAATCACACAATTATGAGTCGGGTAGCATAACTACCAGACTTATTGACTCCACCAAAGCAGGTTCTTGCCCTGTGACATATATGGGAAATCCAGAATAGCCAAATATCACACACATTTTTAAAAAGCCGACACACCAAGAGTATACATACTTAATAACTTTGTCGATGGTATCTTCAATAATCTTGAGAACTTCATCAACAGCATCTGCCCTTATATTGAGAAGGCCGACAGAAAATATTGCCTCCCTTGTGCTATTGTGGTACCTGTGTGGAAACAAAATATAGGCTGTGATTAGTCCTCTCATTGTACCCAGAGATTTGACAGGGTATTCTAATAATTACACGCTATAGGCTTGAGAATGAAAGTAATAATGTCGGCAAGTTGCTCAAATGTTCTAAGCTCAGAAAGTCTAATTTGTCAGGAGAGAAAAAAAATAGGTTTCATTGTTTTAAACATTGTACGTGGGTGGTTGGCGGGTGCTCTGGTGTGGTTTGTTCCTTTCCAATAAAAAATCTATCATCTTTATATCCCCTCCTTCTTTTTTTTGTGTTCGTGACACTCTTGTAACACCTCTAATGTTAGGCATTTACATGACCTTATTGGGTTGCAAGTGCCGTAAAACTCTTACTAAAACTAAACACTGTACTCATATCATGTATTTTTTGGAGCATTTTTGAACATTTAGAATATGGAAATTTACCAGAATATTACTCTTGCATATATGCAACTGATACCTCAGAAAAAGAAACTGCAATAATAATCAATCAAAAAATTTTGGGCTTATTATATATCTGAACAGTTAGTCGACAATATGCTCCACTGGATCCATTACAATTAAGAGACTCAGTGGAAAAACAATCAAATAATTTTATTTAGAAAAACCTTTACTTTAAAGGAAAGAAATTCGTAGTGCTCTCTTACCCTGTTGTAGGAGCATAGTCACTGCCAATGTTTGACTCCAGTAGGGAACGGTAAAATGGCGCTGTCTCCCCCTCCACAAGAAGATAGCCCACGACACTGTTCACAAATGACTCGTAGGAGTCTGTGATGCTGCAAGAGAACATGCACGAGAAGAGTGAGATACAAAACATATCTAAGACTTTTGATACTTGACTCAGGCATTGCCATCAACAGACACAACCAAGTAATGAATACACTTGGTGGTTTAAGTTATAAAACAGAAAAAGAAACATACACAAAACTGACAATGCTGCCAATTACTTCGGCAGCAGGAAATACAGTAGGAGAAATAAATATTGAAATAAAACGACAGTTAAATCACATCTGTCAGCTAAACTACCCAACAGATTTTACAACTTTACGAGAACAATAATCCCGAGAGAGCAAGTATTAATAAGACACAAGTGTGAGCTTGAGAGAAGAGTCTTGACTGAAAACTGGTTGCCACAATAACAGGCTTTTCTATTTCACCCAAAATTTTGAGGAAAATATATTTCATAATTACAGAAAAGGCTTTTGAGAGATATTATCTCACCATTCACAGGTAGAGGTTCAATCACAAAAGTAAATTTAGATAAAACGGACAGAGAAGTATGTCAGGATAGCATAATAATCAGACAGAACTGACAAATTTCTAACCCCCGTACAATTATCTCACATCTCTGAAAGCTTGAATTCAGACCAAAACCCACATTTCTACTTTACATGTTGGTGACTTACTCAGACAACAGGTAGTTGACAGACACCGTGGTTTGTTTCTCTGGATCAGCAGCCATTGGGTCAGGAACACACTTGATGGACTTGGACCTCTGACAGAAATATACCAAAAATAAGCCACACTTAGTCCTGCCATGATTATGTGATGTTTTTCTTTGTTTGTGACATTTTTCTTTTATGAATGTGTTACCTCCTATTGCTATGAAAGCTTTCATATTGTAATTTCCAGTGTGATAGTCAACTCATTCAGTATGTGTGTCTGCGTGTTGAAAAAGCGTTTTAATCCGAAACTTCAAAATGTATATATCTCGAGACAAGAATTTTAATACAACCTCTTGGTGATTTTTCAGTCTCCAAAGGTAAATCAATGCACAGCAAGACTACAATTCTGTTCAATAAATCAAAGTATTAATAAAACAGACAACTAGGTAACATGAGCTCTACAAATTCAAAAATGCACTTTGTCTGTATTGATTATCTTTTTGGCTGCAACGCTGCCACAAAAAGCAAGTGGTGAAACAAGGAAACACGGTCTAAAAATGAAAAAGTAGAAGCTTTTTTTGGTCTCAGCATGATTCTTTTTTAAAAGTCTGTATTAGAGAGTACTCCACATTTCTCTGAACATTCTACACCACTACACTGACTCAAGTGATTCATCTTAGAGTAACCTATGTTTTTCTGCATTCCAGTGTTATATTTCAAGAACACAAATGGAATAATACATTTTTTTTTTCCTTCTCATTTATGGAGTGTCAAAACTTTTATGGATCTGACCAAACTAAACAACCCAACAGACCAAATAGATGTTTTGGGTACTTACAGGCTCATCCCATCTTGCCTCCGCAGGAACTTGAGTCTTGGTAGTAATTTTGTCAAACTTTTCCAGATTGGAGTTTATGAATTCTAAGTGTTCTTCCAGTGGCAAATTGCCGTAAGTAAAAAATCTGTGGGGAAAAAAAAACAACATAAAAATTATTTTGTCTGGCAATAAAGAGCTTTGCTTGTCATGGTTAGAAAATAGAAACATTGTTTCATACTGCATATAAAAGTGTTCTTCCAAAGGCAAGTGGCCGTTAGTAAAAAATCTGTGGGGAAAAAAAAGCATAAACAATATTTTGTCTGGCAATAAAGAGCTTCGGTTGTCATGGTTAGAAAATAGAAACATTGTTTCATACTGCATATTATAAAAGATGAATACAAAACCAAACTTTCTTAAACTTTTGTTCTTTCTAACACTGATGAGAACGTTCTTCAATGTACAAGCTTCCTAGAAGGTATGCTTTCAGTTCATGAACGGAAATTTCAAAACAAAACAGTAAGTCATTCATGATCAATAATTTATAATTTTCAGTGCACTTAGTACTCCCAAGTGTTGGACAGAATGGCAAGGGCTGTCATGCCCCTCTAGACTTTTAATTAGCTGTGAAAGACAATAAAATCCACAAACCATTGTGAAATCATTCAATGTCTTAAAGAAACCAGCCTATTTCCTAACTTCAAAGAGCCTTCAGAATTGTACTTCTTCAATATTTAGACCTGCATGTGAGCCTCAACCAGATTGTCTGAAAATTTTGCGCAGAGAGAGGTCAGCTGATGAGTCAAAGATTCTAAATAAATAGTTCATGCACCTGATGAAATGCGTTTTACCAACATTAATATTACAGCACAACCTATAATAGGGTTTGACACAATAGAATTGGAATATGAATCCTCCATTGAGTCGATTGAGGTCTATAATGATCTATAACTCTAGATCTAGATCTAGAACAAGTAAGTCGGACTCAATCTAAGAATGAATCCACATGAACAGTCAACAAACGAAATTCAAAATGGCCGCTCTAGCACGAAACTGAAAGTAGATAATTTAGGTCGTCGTCCTTTTTCGTATTCGTATTTCTACTCAGGTTCCGACAATTATGTCGGAAACACCGACGTCGGTGGTCGGCACGAAAACGAAAGTGCCGACAAAGCCGACGGGAGAGAAAGGGGGCGCTGGCACTCGGCCAGGCCTCGCACTTCGCACATTGACTTATACAGTGTACAGGTGGGCCTAGCGATAGCATCGGCTGGCTCGCGTGTGGGGTCGCAATTGTCGGATTTCAGACGATTGTCGGCAAACATGCAGGTCTAAATATTATAAACCCAAAGCACTCAAAATGGTCAACCCAGAGTTAGCTGAAAATTCAACTTACTCAAGTACCACTTCGGGCACCTGTGGTATAAAAGCTTCGCTATAGTTGTCAAAAATGGTTGCTTTCCTCTTCTTGGAGTGATGTCGAACTACACACAAATAAAGTCGCTTTAAAGATAGAACATTAGACCCTTTAAGTGGGTGGTTGGCGGGTGCTCTGGTGTGGTCTGCTCCTTCTTTCCTATCAAACATCTATCGTCCTTATCTCTCCTCCTTCTTTTTTTGTGTTTGTTACTCTCTTGTAACACCTCTAATCTTCGGCACTTATATGACCTTATTGTGTTGCAAGTACCGTAAAACTCTTACTAAAACAAAAAAAACCTAAAAGACCCATTAACTTGAAGTTGAAGCTGAGAGGAAATTCAAGTACAGATACGGAAAATTAAGACACCGCTATCTGGACTGAATCTTGACCTTATGCATGCTGGTTTAGCATTAAAATAAAAACTTTGTATTATAAAACAGTATAATTTTGAGACAAGAAGAAAAAAGGAAACGAGATAAGAAGAGAACTCACTTTGCATTACTGGGGTGATAGTGCGTGGCGTGGAACTGCTTCAGCTGCTCATACGTCAGCTCTGGGATGTGGGCAGGGTCACCTCCAGACACAACACCATACGTGTGGCTAGGAAGAAGGGAGTTAAGGGCTTCCTGCATGTATGTGCTTTGTGGATTGGACTGAGGAGGCATAGATGTAAGTAGAAATATTCATTATAGGAAAACAAAAGTAAAAAGTAAGGATATTTAACTATGAAAATACCATTGAAACAATAATTTTTAAAGAAATCTTGACTTCGCAATAGCTAGAGACAAAATAGGCTTTGAAAAACAGCACAAATATTCAAAAATAAAATACACAACATAAAAAAACTTATTCCATGAAATGTTAAAAACATCGATGTCAAGAGACAAATTAGAAACATGAGAACAGATTCAAAAACTGATTTCTAGACTGACTCTGTTAGTGTTAATATTACAGAGAAAGCCTAAGATTTCAATTCTATAACCAAACACATTACCTCAATAATAAATGGGACAAGAGCTAAAAAGTAAACCAATAAAAGAAAAATGACAAATATCTTTTGAATGTCAGCTAATTTACTTACACGATCTACTTACCTAAAGTATAGTACACAAAAAAGCAAGTCATATAAACTAGCAAGACAGTTTCTGCAATCTCTCTAATCAACACAAGTTAATCAAACAGTACTGTAACATTTGACATATTAGTTTTTAAAACAGAAACCAAGCTAAAACTGGTGAGATGCTCACAAATACTCCTTTCATCTCATTGTAGACTACGCCCTTGAAGATGACTGGTGTAGAAGGGTCAGTAGCTTGTGAGTGCTCCAGTCTCCAGCCCTCCTGACTGATAGAATGCAGAAAATCAAGCATGATTAATTATCATTGAACTTCTACATTACACTGAATGATTTCTGCCGAGAAGAGAAAGCTGAATAAATTTCACAAGCTAAGAAATAAAACTAACAACCTTTTCCTTGGCTTGTGTAGTTTTTCCATTCAAAGTAATCAATTACTGCAAAGGTAAGTCTTTATCAGTATGTTTGTATTCTTAACAAGGTCACTTCAAAATTTGAATTTCATGTTTTTCCCCGTCACACAGAGGAGGCTCCCTTCACAATGATTCCAAACCATTTTAAGCAAATGTTTGTAGCTCTTATTACTTGGAATAGGCACCAGAAAAAAAAAGGATTAGGACTTCAAAAAAACCCGCTCATTTAACTGACAATCTCCATGAACGTATAAATCATGATGAGCAAAGAGAGAATAAGTTTGATTCTTAATTCCTGCTGCCTTGATTTTTATCCCAGAATATGGACTACATTGGGTTTATTGGCGCTCATATGACCTTATGCAGTTGCGAGTGCCGTAAAACCTCTACTAAAACCAAAAAAACCCAATGGATTATAAACAAAGCTTTTAGATTATCAACATTTACCAAGATGATTAACAAAAATGTATACAATCACAGGCTATAGGAGCAATTCTCAAGTACAGTGCCACAGACAACTCACCAAAAATCCAGCTCCCTTATCAGGGGAAAGAAAGCAGCATCCATATACACGGACATTAAATTTTTGAAGTCTTGCTCATTTTGACTGGAAAAAGGGTACATTGTCCAGTCATAAGCTGAAACGAGTAAAAGTGAGCATTTTAATAAAAGCCAGTTTTTAAGATGACACTAAAATCTTTTCAAACTCAACCTTTACCATCAAAAAGAGAAACAGGAATTAATAAGAATGAGACGGGAAATGCGAAATAAACAATCCAAAATCCACACTTAAACCAATTTCTTTCTCAACTGACATTTACATTTTACATTGTTTAAACTTAAATATTTAAAACCAACTTTACAATTTTTTTTAAATAAAATATTTTAACTGATCAGTGTATCTGAAAAGACCAATATTTTTCAGCTTTCTGTCTCACTTTAACAAATTTCAAACCAGATAGAAAAGGAAAATAAATTGTCCAAAAGCTAACTAACCTGTGAGGGCATTCATAAAGGTGGCCATGGACCGACTGAGCATCTTGAAGAAAGGATCACGAACTGGGAACCGCTCCGAACCACACAATACAGTGTGCTCTAGGATGTGAGGCACACCAGTGCTGTCCATGGGTGTTGTCCTGAATGTCACACTGCAGTGGTGTGTGTGTGTGTGTGTGTGTGTGTGTGTGTGTGTGAGTGTGTGTGTGTGTGTATTTATTGTGTGTGAGTGTGTGTGTATTGTGTGTGAGTGTGTGCGCACGTGCGCCACATACGTATGTGGGATGTGTGTGTTTGTTGTGATTGAGAAAGATATAGAGTGTGTGTCAGCGTGAGTGTGTTTGTGAAAGAGAAAGAATGTGTGCATGTGAGTACATGTACATGTGTATCAGAGTAAGTGTGTGAGAGGGTATGATAGTATGATAGTAAGTGTTCCAATGAGGAGGAAAATGGGGTAGAGGAAAAGAAAAAATCATGTATAAGTATAACTAGAGGATATAAAATCATAGCAAACAAGTTCAAAGATGAGTGTATACCTTTGAGATTTGAAAAATGTATTCCTCGTGGAAAAGATATCAGATATGTTTTAAGGATTGAACTATGAATTGAAAACTAAAATAACAAAATTTTACGACGGATAAAAATGTTAAGATTAGACTATTACTATTTCACAGCCTTCCCATTCAGAATGAATATATGCAAAGCATTATACTATATTACCAGGCCATAACTGTTTGGCATAAACAAAAAAAAACCTAATGTCACTATACTGTTTAATTTCTTGTCGTCAACTCATGAACATGTTGACTGACAGGCTTAAAAAGAACACCCATTGAACCTGTGAACAATTTCTACACAAAGCAGAATTAAAAGCAACAAGTGTTGTGAATAAGTTGTTCTAACAGACAATATCTTTACCTGAATGTGTTGTTACTATCATCTCGGGCAGCATGCAAATGTTCTGCTCCAGTCTTGTCGTGACTCAACATGGCCGCCGTGATAAAAAATTCCGGCACCTCCTCCACCTATGAAAGCATGTTTTGAGGTGAGCTCAGGTATCGCTTTTTCTATAAAAAAGGAAATATACTACTTATTGTAAAACTTTAAGTGCCACTGCTACTATAAAGTTTGCATCCATTCTAACAGAAGGATCTCGCAAAACTCCCTTCCTCGACTTGTTATATATATATATTCAACCATCATTCCACTTATGCTGAATTTATGCACCAAACACCGGGACTTATGATAAAGAAGTCCAGACTTGGAGCATGCAGTACTGAAACTTTTCACACCAGCAGTGTGAGTTCCTGAAGTAAGGGTAAATGCAACATTTCTATAACAGAAGCAAAATGGGTAATACACCCCCCCCCCCCTCCTCCACTCAATCAACCATTCGTTATTCATGACTCACCTATAACCACCTGGTCTTCATACAACTTCATCTCCCAGACACTGTTATCAATGCTCTAAAAAGAAGCAGCATGCTGACATATATCAGTCTAACAGTTCAAGTCCAGGCCAAAATGTTACTGCTACAATGAGCCATGAAGAGAGTGTACAGCGTACTATTTTAAGAACAGGAGGCACGGAAATAAAAAAAGAAACTTACTCTTTGAACTGTGTAGCCATGCAATTTATCTCCTGGTTTCAAAGCACGAACTCTGTCTCGTGCCTCTTCATTGAAGAAACGAGCTTGGCGAGATCTAAAACAAGATTCAGGATGAGATTCAATGTATCTATAGTTACATTTTAATATGAAAAAAGTTTGAAGTAAGATTTATGCAAGGCCAGAACATTTTTTAAAAAAAAGGTATGATGTACATCAAGATATATAACAAAGGTAAAGTTTCCAGCCCTTACTCCTGGATAAAAAAAAAAAAACGATCAAAAGGATTGTAAAACCTTATTTCGTCCTCAGTTTCCTTCCCACTACATACTTTTATTTTAAAGCGGACTGCCAACCACTCCATGAACAAAAATAACGTTTTCCTATCAGAGTTTTTTTGGTTGAAAAATCAGGTCTCTAGAACTCCAGTAGATTAAGTTTATGTAATGAGCCACTGTGGCAAATAAACATGTATGCAAATACAGGCAAATAAAAATATGCTTCTTCACATCATTTATGATCTGTTCCCGAAAAATTGAAGATTAACACAAATAAAAATTTCATACATTCTCTTTCACATTATTTACACAATAAGTCTCATACAACCAGCGGAAATGAAAATCAAGAATATAAATATGATTTTATACAAATCTGATTGGGGTTCTTCGACCAAAAAATAAATAAATTGGAAGGCTCAAATTTTATTAAAGTACTTGGCAGGTCTCAAGAGCATTTTTCCTGCCTATGGTAATGACGATCATCATTATCATTTGTGAGGTATCGAGGTGAAATGAAGCATTCGTTAAAATAATGAAATTTTTAAAAAAGGCATTTTTCCGCCTATTTGGGAATTTTCACCTAATATTTTTTGTTTTTTGGCTTAACATCTTTCGTATCCATCAAATAAACACACATTTCCATGGGATTTTTATGGACAAACATGTAGATTAAAGGCATAAAAACTGTACATTTTCCTTTTTCAAGGCCTCTCAAGCTTTTGAAGTTACCAAAATTGAACGACCATTTGCTCGCAAATTTTGCCTCTGAAACCAAGTGACCTCCACTTCTTACAATCACAAATAAAAGATAGATTGCTACTTTCTCATAAAAAAAGCAAGGCAAATTTAAACTAGTTTTCAGATGATAATGATAAATCTACATGCCGTAAAATTGACGAGTGCCTGATTCTACCACGTCGTGACACTTTCGTATATGTCAAAATTTTGTCGAATACAGGTAAAACTAGGTTTTGGGGCTTGAGACCCAAATTTTAAAAGTTGACGAAAGTTCTGTGCCCAGATAAATGGTATTAAATTACTTGCTATTTAACTGCAATGCAAGTTGAAGGTCATAAACAGGTTTCATAACCACCAATGATGTACTGACTAGGTACTACATTCCGTAGACTTATTTTCTCACGCCCACATCTGCACTATCTAACCTTAAATATCTTTTGACCAACTCCACTGGGAACTTGCACATGTATGGGTTTGAAATACTTTTGAATTGACCTTTGGAATATATTTTTTGTCCCACCAAAATTGACGGTACAGATTTCCTCTCTTTATTACAAAAAATACCAAGCACTCAGGCTATAAAGGAAGAGGAAGGCCACGCAAAGGGTGTATCGAGGGTGTCAAGGAAACCCTAAGAAAACATAACATCACAACTGAAAGAGCTGCGGAGCTGGCCTACCATAGAAAACTGCATCTCCCCTCGACACGCTTATATTATGGTAACAGAGGATGAAAAAGTAAAAGTAAAGTATTATAAAAAGTGACTTTGTTTGAATGAAAACACAATTTAGAATGGCTTTTAAAAACATAACCATGGTCAATGCGTGTCAACAACAATTATACAATTTCTGACTAGCGTTCACATTTTCTCTGCCCTGCATGCTTTTTTCGCATTACTTTCGAACCACCAATAATGTGTTGTAAGGATTGACATGCCTATGACCTATGATGACCCACTTTCAATGGCTCAAAGTCCTTGTAACTGTAAAATTACATTTCAAGTCAGGAATCTTGTGATGCTCCAAAAAGATCATCTAGGAATTCATCATGGTGAATGAACTTTTATAAAAGTGAAGAATAAGACATGATGATTGATAGAGATGAATGAAAATCCTAAGGTCAGTCAAAGAATGTCTGCATGCAAGAGAGTAGACGTAATAAAATAAAATATATTCTTTAGAAAATAGAAACTGTAGGCACGAGAAAGTTTCAGAAAGTGAAAGAACTGGGATGAATGGTGACACTGGTTAGAACACACCTAGGCCTAGGAATATCGGAGATAATGATATTGACTTTTCCTTTTATCTCACCATTTGCACATTAGTAGAGACCTTGTAGGCTAATTAGTAGTGTGAGTGTAGGTAAGGCCCAGGAGGGTAAGCTGCATCATGCAACTTTGTCTTTGACTCATCAGTCAATTTTTATTGTACAGACACAGTGACACAGTTCAGAAAAAGAAACTAACCTCTGTTTAGCTGCCTTGAGCAAGCCTGAAACAGCCCCACTAGCTCTCTTAAATATGTGCATTCTTGTAGTTAGAAAAAATACTGTCACGAACAAATGAAATGATTTAATTTAGCGTGTCTACGAGACATTAATTTTCATTAGAGAAGACTAAAGTCATGTCCTGATGAAACAGTGACCCATGGGGGCGGCCATCTTGGAAATGTTTTTACTATTAGTACAATATATGTGTCAACGAAGAAAACCATTCAGTTCCCATGAAAGTACTAAACTCTTTATTCTTTATTAAAATGGAAGTTTTCCAGAAAAAGGTCTTCTGTTCAAAATCAAATCTGCATTTGTTTTTCAAAACTGAAGATTGGTTTACAGTTTGTTAAATAAGAATCCACTTTTTCTATTTGCACACGGGTCGTTGGATTCGTTGCTAGGAAATGGTCAACAACCATGATGGAGGCCGCTGTGGAGTTTTGGCACTGTTAAACTTGCGTTTTCGAACAAATACATAAAAAGATATTCAATTTATCTTTTTTACTTTTTAGTGAATGTGCTTTTGATTGATCTTCTTTGAATAGGAATCATGGCTGCACAAGTAAAGCTTCCTGACATTCAGGGAAAGAGCATTTATGAAGGAAGATTTGTTGACAGAGCTCCCGAGTGCAGAGCTGTGAGTTTTAATTTGTATAAATTTAAATTGATGGTAATGCATTTCAGGGAGGCTTGTAGTCATAAGATAATTTTTTTCAGTCCTTTTATCTCAACAGTCCCATCCAAACAAGGAACAACGAAAGTCTTTAATTTTATACTTCGACATATTCTCTTTATAGCCAGGGCATGCAGTGATCTGAATCTGAGTTTGGACGGAGTGTATGATTGAGGAACACAATTTTAGCCTGTATACTGAGATCACCCCAAGCTTTTGGCAGCTTAGTTAATAAAATATTTAAAGTAGTCGACCTTTTTTCTTGTACCCTGCTCCTGAAAGGTGATAGGAAGAGGATTTTTTCCAGTGAGACTAGATCTCTATATGACATACGATTTCAATTAAGATAAGCATGGATTTCAATTAAGATAAAATAATTGCTTGAAATATTCACTTTCAACTTTTAGCTATTGAACTTTCTGAATTTAGAATGAATTTTGCATTTGTAGGGCATTAGTATTTATACATTTCTCCCTGCAAAATAAAAATGTTTCAATTCACTGCCTTTGCTTTCTTTTTAGCGAGATTTTTTTTTCAAAGAAAACCTGTACCATTTACCCATGCAACTTATTTATACACTTAATTGTAGGCCTTATTATTTGAAATATTCAATTAATACTGTAACTAATTAAGTCCATTATTCTGGTACATGAATGTATAAATTAGATCTAAATTTTTTTTTCCAGTGTATGATTGTTAATTCTGTTTTAAATTAATTTGAAACAGTTTATATTGTTTTAATACAAAATACAGGATTGAATTATGTGTACTCAGTTACAACTATAGCGTTACAATATTATTATGTTCAAACAACTGCAATAGCACTTGCATGACAAATTTATAAATTATCACTCTGATTGATTTCTTTGTAGGCTGGCAAGTTGACATCTTCTGGTGATACAACTGAACAGTGTTTGCGTCCAAAAGATACACGGGTGAGTTTCATCATACATCTTTTTAAAAAAAAAGATTAGCCTAGAGAAAAACATTTTGAAAATGCTAACTTTTGAGGTACAGTATATTTTTAACCAAGCATTTTGGCTTAGTTCTTTCAGAGTTCTATTATAGAGAAAAGTGTCTGCACAATTATTCTTTTAAAGGGCAGGGACAGTGGAAGATATACAGAAAACTGTTGAGATGTGATGAAGATTTAGAGGATTTGAATATTTTCCATCATAAACACCTTTGATTTTAAAAAGGGGATACCAGGCTAATGAGTTAATTTGCGGGCACTGTTAGAAACTATTCTTAATGTGTATCGTTCTCATTTGTAATTGGAAAGCAAAAGTTCAATCTTATAACAACACTTTAGGTCTATTTCACCTGCTGCACTTTTTTTCCTATAGAAAGTAGAGGAGCAAAATCAAAATTTTTGTGTAATGACTTAAGAAGCCAATTTTCTCTCTTGCCTTTAAGAAATAAATTTTAAAATGTCATCCACTAGCCTCCATCTCCTGATGTGATACGCAAGTTTCGGGCAACAGTGCGACCAGATGCTGGTCAAATGCGTGTCTTCTATGGGAAGGCTTATGACCCTCACCGTCAATGGGCTGTAGAGATGACCCATGGTGTAAACACACAGCCTTCAAGCTCATCAAAAGAAACTGTGAATCCTCCTCCGAACACTTTATTTCAACAAAGAATTATTGACAGGTAATTATATGCCCTGAATTTTGTGTCTGATAAAAAAGACAGTATGAATTCCTGTAAATGGTTTATTAATAGAAAAAAAAATAATGGCAACCATGCCAAATGTAGACATGCATAGTACCCAAATATAGCTGTATTTCAAGAAGATGTTGATAGTTGGGTGAAGTGTGTCAGCCAATAAACTGCATCTTTAATCTGTGGTTTTAGTTCCGCATTCAGTCGTTTTGAGTTACATTTTAAAATCATTGTCTGAATAAATTTTGTTGAGAATGATATGAAGTTGTAATTTTCAAGGATAGTAAGCTTCATCGCAGACCTGTTGGCGTCCACCTTTTGATATCCTTTTCTTAGCATGAACTTTAGCTGTTTTCATATTGATATGGTCTTGAAATGTAATTATTTTTGTGTCATTACATCTATAATATAAACCTCTTCACTTTATTCTCATCAGGAAGGAGGGTTGCTACCAGAGCCACATCAGAGCACCTCTAGGAAAATCTCATGATCAAGCACATGGCCTCCCTAAAGGCTTGGATAAAACTCAATTCACTTTTGGCATCCCCACTCAGCTTGGTATGTAGGCAGTCGTCACTTACAGATGAAGTTTATGCTTTTGTTATTTGTACAGTGGATAAAACCAAAGTTGAACATGCATAACTTGAAAATGAAGGCTCCTCAAACTGAGATCTTGGTCATGATGTTATTCCTGAATTTGAGTGTGGTTTGTGTTATCCCATCAGAAACGATTCAAATATATGCTATTTGTTGTGCTTTAGTGAAAAAAATCTTTGTGCTGAAAGGGGGATAAAATAAAGAAAACTTGATGGTAGTGGTTTAACAATGTTACTCTATAAACGTAGCCCTTCTATGAGGCAATTAGAAAAAACTCTCTCACGTTGGATTAGTGATGGAACTAGCAGGCTTTGATGGGTTGGTCAAAGAGATAAAAGAGATTGCAGTGAAAAAGATGGGTGTTGAGATGGAGCTGATAGGCTTGCTGTGTCATCTAGGGTGGTGTGCAGTATGAAGCTGAGAAAAATTCACATGAGTTTGATAGTATGCATGTTCACACACACACACAAACACACACACACACACACACACACACACACACACACACACACACACACACA